CAGTTTACAGTCCATCTTCAGCTACAATTTCAGCCTGGCTGAAAACCATGGTGGTTCAGGCACTGCTGTTCACGCACCTGCAGGATAGGTCAGCCAATTCTTTCAGAAATATTGGGAAGAGATCCAAGAGTAAAATAAAACAGGAAGTAGATAGTAATCTGTCATCCCACAACATATAATACAACAGCCTTTAACTTTGGGCTCAAAAAATCATGAAAAGTAAAAGAAATCTCTCAAATTAGAAGTTACTTTTTACTTTGATTCCTAATAGGATAGCAGCTACAGTCTCAGAAACGTGCCTTTTGCTTTATGTCTGCCTATGTGTTACTTAGAAGTGGCCAGCTTCAGAAGATGTAAACACCTGTTCACAAGTACCCACTGGAGATAAGACTGATCTCAAGCAGTCACTCACACCGCAGCATGCTGCAGCCCTGGCCAGAAAGGCAGGTGGAATCCTCCCTGCAGCTGACAGGTCTGCTGCTCTAGCCTGGTAACAGATCCCAGAACTGAAATGCAAGACTACGTTGCTAATTCTTCCTTACTTCAAAGAAAGAAAAAGCATTAGCAGACTGGCTGAACAGTATGGTGAGTGGTAATGGACAGACAGGGATAGATGGAGCAACTGGAATAGTCATTTGGTGGAAGAGATGCAGGCAAGAGCCAATGTAGGGCAGAGTAGCTAAAAACAGAAAAAGGGAACAAAGAAGGTTACAGCAGAGGAAGGACAAAAGCAAAAATGCAAAGCAATGTTAAAACACTCTTGGGCACTGAACTTGCCTTTTAATTACTACAACAGAGCCTCTTCAAAGTCTAGCTCCAAACACACGAGACTAAAGCCAGACATCACTAGAGGGGCATTTTTACAGTATGATGAAGAACCCCTAGTGTAGTTTATTTGGATTTGAGAGGCCCTTTCTCATATTTTACACTCAGTAGTCTTAGTTAAAACATTATTAAATATCTAAAACCAGGCCTAGGAAGCTGAAGTGTCTGTAAAAAGTCAGCTGGCAAAGGATGGTAAGAATTAAGATTAATAATCCCCTGTTTGCTGTAAAAAGCTGCACCATCACAGGTTTGCCAACATCAGTGCAAGTCTAAAGCATCTGGAAAAGAGGAAAGATTGAACCACTGCTGTATACACTGCACACATCTACCCTGCAGAAAACAAACTTTGTTAATCCTATTTTGGTTTCAGGTTAAGGAAAGAATGATGGTATATAAATATTACTGTGATACTGGGAAGATGCAACTCTGCAGAATAATACCAAAAGAAGTTACTAAAATCAACTAAATATTTATTTGATGCACTTAGAAAAACCAACCCCAACAAATTTAACTAATTGTTGGGAAGCAACTTCCAAAGACATTTAGTCTTAAAATCAAAGAGAACACGTCTTGACAATATTCTGACTTGGAATGCTCAAGATACTCCTAGATGTACTAAAAAACCCAAGTAAGTACTGGCAGTTTGACATTATTCTCCCTCCTTTGCAGTTGAACCTAGTTAGATACTAAACAGAAGACTGCCTCATAAATTAAATATAAACTTCTGGTAAGAGATTATTAATCTGAAGGTAACACAAAAATGCTAAAGGGCAAAGGAAAATGGCTACATCCAAGCTTATAACTGCCCTACAGGAAACGACTCTTTCTTAATGATTAATAACCCCCTTCCTCTCTTTTGAGCCAGCTCCTCAGACAACTGTTTGACCAGAAATGAAAAAAATATTTACACTTTTCAGAAAAGAAGCAATAAATGGAATGTTAAACTCTACCACTTTGCCAACCTAATTTTGTCATTTCATTTCTTTGCTTGAGTTTAGGTCCTCCTGAAGACTCCCACACTTTTTTCCTAATTCCTTTTGAGCAGAATTAAGAAAACCTAACGTACTGTTTTTATTTGCACGTTTCTAAGTAAGTTCTTAATTTAGAAAATATCAACCTCTTTTTATAAAAGATAACTCCTAATTGAGAATGACGCAAATCACTCTGAGTTCAGTCATCAGCACAGACAGACCTAACAGGACAGCCCGGGCCTCCAGAACCACTCGAATGGGCATCGTGATGTGCGCTTGAGCAGGCACTGAACCCTATGGCATGCTGGCAGGGAAGATCCAGATCCCCCAAGATCCCCAATACTCTTAAACTGCCTCTTTCTTTTCAAAGAGCAACCACTAGAACACTCATTTGCTGAAAACTACCCAACACATCAGTTTAACTGTGTAATCAGCACCACTATGATAAAGTACGCAATACTTTAGATACAGTAGACGTGTCCAAGCTCATTATAGTTATTACAATAAAAATATCATCAGGATGTACACTTTTCCATGACGAGAGGCACAAGATGACTTATTTTTAAACCATGCACAGTATCAAAATTGGAAGTCTATTTCAAGATTCAGATCTGACTTCAGATACAGATCAGGCCACCTCTAACTGGGAACAGTAACATGTTCTGTTATTAAAACATAAATTACAAACGATTTCAGTGTTTGCAGCATTTCTTTCCGCAACACCCTAAACCTATTTCTAGGCACACCATGCCAAGGAAGTATTTTCAATTGTACTTCAACATACACTTCAATCCAGCTCGCTAAACATAACTGAAAGGTCTATTAAAGCACAGGCTGGCATGCTTGAGTCTCTACCATATTAAATTACTTAACTGAGAAAAAAATCTCTGGAAACACCCTCGCCTTTGTGCCCATCATGCCATTCCCTCCAACAACTTGTACACTGGCTTACTATTTTATACCCAGAACCAGACACCAGACATGCGGAATGCTACAGCTGTTTACTCCCCTACAAAATACTGCGTTTCACTTTACAGTTACAAGCTTGGATCAACTGGAAGCAGAAAAGACTTGTGAGACATGACGCTAATATTAGTAGCAATTTTCACAGAACAAAGCTCTCACCTGAAGAGACACGTGCTTACATTACAAGTTCTTAGAAGGGACAGAGGCAATTTGCTTTCAACTTTATCTTGCGAGCAAGCTTGGGTTCCAAGGACAAGTCCATCCAAAAGAGCAGATACCAAACTTGGGTGAAGAGCAGCCCTGAACTCACCTGTGAGGCACAACTTCCAAAAGGAAGAACTGAGCTTGCCCTGACAGCTAAATATCGCCTTTGGGTAAAAACCCAAACACCACTTTAATTCAAAATTTAGGAAGTTGCTAAGAATTCAAGACAGATGCAAAGCGCAGCCTCAGCTTAAGCAACTCTGAGCCAGGGCTGCTGGGTAAGAAGGAAGATGAGGAAGGGCTCACGAGAAGTTCCTTCTCAGCAGCTGCTGTGGTAACGGGGGAGGCTGAAACACCTGGGCTGCTTCAGGAGCAACACCCCTGCAGATAAACAGTTTAAATGATTTATTCTCATTTTAAAGCCCACTTTTTTTTTTCCTCCAAAGGTTTAATCCCTCTACTAAAACAGGTTGCAGACTGGGTGAGAGAACTGAAGAAACCAGAGCACTCTTTTCCTGCCAGAGGAGGACTCCGAGGAGCCACATGCCGGCAGAAACGCTCCTGAGCCAGACCCCCGAGCGCTGGAGGTGCGGGAGGCTCTCTGGAAAGCTGACGGAGTAGGAGTAGGGAGCATTCAAAACGTGTCACGCGTGAAAAGAAGGAATTACATCACGGGGAAAGCAGCCCGGAGCCATTTGGTTTACTCTGGTTTCTGATCAGCCTCCGGGGGGATGGGACGAGGGGAAGGAGCCCGAAGCGGCGCCTGTCACCGCCTCGCTCGCTTTAAACCCGCGCAGACCGGGTTGGAACGAGACCGGACCCGCCCACGGCGGAGCCGGAGACCGAGTGGGGGCGGAGGAGCGCGCG